AACTCCTGGGCTTAAGCAATTCTCTTGCCTCAGCCTCCAAAGTAGCTGGGACTACAGGCGCCCACCATAACACCTGGCTATTTTTTGGGTGTAGTTGTCATTATTGTTTGGCAGGCCCAGGCTGGGTTTGAACTTGTCAGCTCTGGTGTATGTGGTCGGCATCCTATCCGCTGAGCTATAGGTGCCAAGTCCAATTTTTCTATTTTTTGTAGACATAGACTCTTGCTCAGGCTAGTTTTGAATTCCTGGCCTCTAAGGATCTTCCTGCCTTGGCCTCCCTCCCAAATGCTAGGATTACTGGTATGAGCCATTGCACTCAGCTTATCTCTCTCTCTTTTAATGGTTATATGCTATTCAAATATAGCTATACCATAATATAGTCAACCAGGTCCTTGTTGATGGACATCTTTGCTCTTTCCAGTTTTTATTATTATAAATAATGTGGGGTTAAACATAATTGTTATCACATTACCTTTCTAAATCACAAGGCTAACTAAATTACTCCCTTATTAAAAACTCTTAGTGGCTTCTCAGCCTGTTGGGTGAAGTCTACATTCTTCTAAGGCACAAGATGTCACCTGTGATCTCATCTTCCTATCTGTCCAGGCTTATCCCTACTGTCTGCATTTCTTTGAAGTCTATTCTATGCCCTTCTCAGCTCTTTGCCATTCTCTGGTCATGACTGAGCTGCTGCTTCTGCCTGGAATATCCTTTCAAAATTCCATAGGAAACACATACCCATCCTGCAAAGGTCTGTGTATGAGCCATGTAAGTGGAATTGCGTTGTACTTTAAAACTTTGCTTTTAGAAAATGAGCTTATTAGAAATGCAGAATGTGGAATGCAGTGTGGGAGCTTGTTAGAAATGTAGAATTTTGGGCTCTACTTCAGACTTGTGTCCAAATTTGCATCATAACAAGATCCCTCCATGATTCCTCTGCCCATTCAAGTTTGAGAACCACTTACCTTAGTGCATTATCATACCTAATGTATCTCTTTTACACATTAATCCCACTGAAGTAATTGTTTTTCTTTCTTTTTTCCTTTTTTGTACTTTTCTGGAGACAGAGTCTCACTCTGTTGCCCAGGCTAGAGTGCCATGGCATCAATCAGCCTAGCTCACAGCAACCTCAAAGTCCTGGGCTCAAGGACTACTGCTACAGGTGTGTACCACCACACCCCCAGCTAAATTTTCCATTTTTAGTAGAGATGAGGTTTTCCTCTTGCTCAGGCTGGTCTCCAGCTCTTGAGCTCAAGCAATCCTTTTGCCTTGGGCTCCAAGGGTGCTGTGATTACAGATGTGAGCCGTCTCACTTGGCTTTGTTGAAGTAATTTTTCTTTTGAGACAGAGTCTCATTTTGTTGCCCTCGGTAGGGTGCCATGGCATCATAGCTTACAGCAACCTCAAACTCTTGGGCTCAATCAATTCTCCTGCCTCAGCCTCCCAAGTAGCTGGGACTACAGG